TATTAGCGCGAAATTGGTAATGAAATTGGCAACACTTTTACTACGCTTGCCAACGCCTGACATTGCTGGCTGGCCGCGTTTCGATTGGCGTTCTGCTGATCTGCGCTCTGTTTCCGCCGGCGTCATCGTCGCCAGCTCTGCCATGCACTGTACCTAATTGCTCACATTGCACAAATCACACAAATGCTTTCAATTACATGGCACAAACACAGACGCCGCCGTCGCTGACGTCGCTGCCAACTGAAACGAGCGCCTGGACAAATGCGACCCAACTGCGTCGGCTGCTGTACTCTGCACGGCTCAGCTTTGTTTTTGTTTCAGTTTCGGTTCGAATACCCTTGTAGAACGCATGTCACATAGAAACAGATCTCTCCATATGCGTAAGGCATATAGATATATATACATTTCTGGTCAGGAACAGTCGGGTTTTCTAGTCATGTCCGTCTGGCTGCAAGCTAGTCAAAGTTTTAAACGGTTCAAAGCTCCCTTTTTCTGTTGCATGAAGCCACATATGTTCGAGTCATGCGAATCGGAGCGCTATATCATGTAGCTGTCATAGGAATATTTGAAAAAATGAAGTTTTCACTTCATCATGAACAAAATCTTATCAACATAGGAGTACTATATCATATACATAGCTGTAAAGAAAAAATCAATCGAAAACTTTTGTGTTTTTCAAAATTACTTGCTTCAGTTTCGCTCTTCTCACTCATTTACTATGCTCCCAAAATATCTGCTAAACCGTATCGAATCGGTCTACTATATCATATGACTCCTATGTTGGAAACAAAGCGATATATAATTACATTTCTAAGCCATATGTCTACAAGGGTATTTGTTCTTCGGCCTGACAGAGATAGCCGTAATTTCTTGTTTTTTTTTTTTTTTAATTTGTTGACATATTAAAACCAGATTTGCAATCAAGTCGGGCACGAGCATGACTCACAAGCCGGCGGAAAAAATAATAAAAATAATAAGAAACGCCTGCGACGACACCGACAGCGACGGCGATGAAAATAATAACTATACAAACTTAAGCTACAGCAACAACTATAACAACGACAACAACAACAACAACAGCAGCAACAACAACAATTACAAAAACGTGTTTGCATAAGCAACAAATGTTATTTTTCTATTGCTGTTTGCAGTGCGAGTAGACCAAATCGTTCGACTGTTCGACTTTTTGGTCTATGGAACTGGTTGGCGATTCTGGATGCGAACTCTCCTCTGCGGGCGGATTGTTTGGGTGATTAAGCAAAGTTTGCAATGACTTGGCTCGATTGAGGGAGGGCTACAGATTATCAGGCACTTGCAGTTTCCCCCCATTGCTGCCAATTAGCTTAGGTCGTCGAATTTATTTAGCTGGCCGTGTGTGTGTCTTGCGTTTGATTAAAGAAAAGATGAGAAGGGGGGGGGGGGGGGGCGACAAAGACCGACAGAACTCGACAAAAACAGGCAAACAACAACATGGTTGTGAATACAATCATGTATAAATAATACTGGATACACAGAACACACCGAAAGAAAGCCCCAATGATGATCCCCCACAGCAGCAAAAACCGGACAAAGTTGTCTTTGAGCGACGACCGGAAATGTGCAATAAAATTTGAATGTTTCTTTATTATTATCATCATCCCCATCATCTTCCGCTGCAACAGAAGCCAGTTCCATTGCTTTTATTGTTGTTGTTGTTGCTGCTGTTGTTGTTGTTGTCCGTCTGTTTTCATGTTTTGCTTTCGGTCCACTCCATGCCACTCGGGCGAGGGAGAGCAACCAGTTTGTGGCACCTTTCGTGACGCAGGCGCAAAAAATAATAATAAATTGCAGCCAGCGGTGACGTTGCCAAAAACAGGACCACAACAACTGGTTCCGCCACAGTCGTAGCCGCAGCCGCAGCCCGAGCCGCAGCCAAAGCCGCCTCCACCAACGCCGCCAACTCCTTCATTCATTCATTCATTCATGCGTTCGACGCCTTGGCCAAGAGGAGAGCTGGCATCGCTGCTCAAAATGTGCAGAAGTCGCTTGACGGGTTTGCCTGCCCCTTTAATTTGGGCTCCAAAACGCGCTTTGGAGTGCCCTCGCTGCCTGCCTGATTTTTTTTCTTTTAACTTGGTTTCCTGAGGGACAGCACCTAAAAAAAAAAATGAAAAAAAGAAGAAATAAATCTGAAATTGAAACAGAAAGAGAAACTGCACTGTACGTAAACTGGAGTAGAGTGCACCTACACACATGCACGGCGTGCGTATCCAGGTGAGGGTATCCGCTCTTCGGTGGTTGTTGCCAATCTGGTTGATGCCCACGCACCACCTTAGACTTCCCACGCCAAACTCGAACAATATCCATTGGGATGCCGGGCACGTTTGTCCAGACTAGCGCCCAGCGTTTTGCTCAGTGTAAACGCTCCACTCACACACACACAATCGCACACACACACACACACTGAGACAATCCCATGATCGTAGAAAAACTAGTTTTCTTAACCAACTTTTATTGTGACTCGGAGTTTCGATTGTGTTTTTCTGGCTTTGTATTCGCTATTGTGGCTTTTTTTTCTTCTTCGTTGTTGGGCTTTTATGCATAATTTTTGTTGTGCCCACCTCCTGACCGGGTCTGGAGCTGAGTCTGTCACCGTGGCTTGAGTTGGCAGAGCACTCGAAAGCTCCGTTCGGTCTTTGAGCGGAAATTCATTGAAAAACGAAAGACTTAGGCAACAAACTTGAACGTGACTGCGACGCCGGCAGAGCCAACAACTCAACTCCATGTGATTCATTACGCCCACTTCATTGCCGCTCATAATCAAAATTCAAGACAGAGCGACACGAGAACCACAGCGAAACAAATCAAAGGATTAGAACGAGATCTGGCGGCTAGCCACAGAGCCATAATTCAAATCAGATTCGATGTTATTGTGCTCCGGCTAGCGAAAAGAAGAAGAAAACAAATCAAAATCAATATACACCCAACTATTAAATCAAAGCGAAGAACTCGTTTTAAAGCCCAGTTTCTTAAACATTTCAGAAACGCGCCTGACATCAAAAGAGCTTCCAACCACCAAATGGCGTCGCGAGCGTCGTCAACGTTCCGGCGCCGCCGAATATTATCATGTTCGCGATGCAGGCAACGGTCTCTTCATTGTCGGCGACAGGGCGAGGGAAAGAGAGAGGGAGCCGGACATGGACAGCCCCATCGATATGTCGGTGACGTCGAGCACTGTGAAGCATCAGCGCGCCTCACCGCCTCCACCGTACCGCGAGCCGCTGGGGGGAGCAGCAAGCAGCCACAGCTACACGGCCAGCCGGCCCAGCGTTATTACCCAAGCACCGCCCAAACGGGAGCAGCCGGAGCATGTGCATCACAACTCGCACTCCAATCACGAGCATGACCATCGCAGTACGGGTAAGTTCCAGCCGTTGTCGATCTGTTTGACGGACGAGTTTTAATGTCAGCATCATCATCAATTTTTTGCAGAGTCCGATCCTATTTGTGACATCGACGAGCATTTCCGGCGCTCTTTGGGGCCGGGCTATGCGGCGCTGTTGAAATCGCCATCATCCAGCTCGCCCACACCGTCGCCACAGCCACAGTCTCAGTTGCAGCCGGTGGCTGGGAGTGGAACACCCATGCAGCAGATCTCGCCACAAGGCTATCGGCAACAACAACCAACAACAACTTACCAGCAAAATCACTCGCCATTGCCGCTGTCACTGCCCATGTCTAAGCTGGGCTTGCCCATCGTTCAATCACCCACGTTGCAGTCTGCACCGGTATCGCCACAGCACGAACTGCCGCCGCCACAGGAGGAGCCGCTGTCCCTGTCTCCGCCACCCGTTCGAGCAGCTTCCGCTTTGTCGTGCCCTTCGCCACCGCTTGGCGTCAGCCAAATATTAGATGCAACGGTAACCAAGAGAGAGAGAGCCCTGGACACACCTCATCATACTCCCCCCAGATGTAATACACCACCGCCGGCCTATGGCAGCGTTGTGATGGCATCGACGCCAACGCCGCCCACCATGCCAGCTATTATACGTGTGAAAGCCGAACCAGGACTAGCGGCAGCATCATCGACGCATACGCCGCCCGCTTCGCCTACCTCATCCACAAACATTTCGATATTCACCAAGACTGAGGCCTCTGTAGACGATCACTTTGCCAAGGCACTGGGCGACACATGGAAAAAGTTGCAGGGCCAGAAGGAGTAGACCTGCAGTGCAAATGTGAGGACCAACTCAAAAGCTGTTCTTATTTAAAACTACACAATTGATTTTTAAAGATCTCATGACGATGTGAAAATTCTTCAAATGCGAGTGTATTACAAGTTTCTTATTATGATTTTATTATTGAATATAGTTATGGAAAAGCGTATACGTACATGTGACAAAATTGGTATTCTTAATGCATAGTTGCATAGATAGACTAATCCTTAATATGTATTAAATTATGTGCATACATATGTATGTATGCATATTACGTATGTTTATTTCATAATTCTAAATTATGAATTTAATCTAAGCTTATGTTTATCCAAATGAATCCTATAAAACTTAAATCAAACGAGTGGCAAATACACAGTACTCTCTAACAAGCACTCTATTATTATTTAAGTGAATCTTACAATAAACATTAAAATAAATTCGTTTTCGAATGATTTCAAATTTGGTTTGAAAGCGCGCGCATGTATGCCCTTCAAACCGTCGGTATCATTTTGAACGTGATGGCAACGCTGACTTGCACATTACGACCTTCTCAACTATCGTATGTAACTATCGATGGCCAGTGTAACCATATCCAATGTTATGAAAAATGTGTTGTGCTGTTTGTTTGCTAACAATTTATTAATATCATATGTTGAATTAAAACTATTTATAATAACTTAATCTTTTGAATAATCTAAACAAGCAATCGATTTTGTATTTTTAATTCAAAATTGTTCCCATCATTCTTAGCCCATATTGTAAAGTTATCGGTATCGATAGCACAATTATTGGCTGCCAGTGTGTACGCGTATTCGGCGAGAACGTACCATTGCAAAACTAAACTTTCTGCATAAAACATAAAAAAACATTAAACAAATGAAAAACATTTAAATTAAGATATTACTTGAAAAGTTGAAAATACGTACGTGTACGTACGCCGCGCTTAAAGCTTGCAGTTTGTGTTTGTGTGTGTGTAAAAAGCCAGAAATACCTTAGGCGAATGAGGGGCGAAGACGAAGAGAAAATGTCACGCAAAGCAGCAGCGACAGAAAAAGAGTGAAGAAATTACATTTGGGGGAAGGAAAAGCGCATAAAAACTCAACAATAACAATATTAAAAGACTCTTTCTGTGCAAAAAGGCGCAATTCCAATGGCAATGCGTGCCCCGCAATCAAAATTGTGCTGAAAAGGGAATCGAAATAGAAAATAACGAGTTGTTGTTGTTGTTGTTGAGTAGTTGTTACTCGGCAGGCAGACACCTGCAAGCGCAAGGAGGAGCGATGAAAACAACTGAACTGGTCCTGGGGAGGCGCCTAACTACTGTTCTCGTACAGTTCTCGCTCCTTGATTTGAATGTCGTCGTCGTTGGTAATTGAATTGAAACTCGGCTGCAACTGGAACTGGGACTGCGACCACGACTTGCACTCCCCACTGGCACAATGCAAAGCTTGGACTCATCATGCCAAGAAGCAGATGTAAGTATCAGTATCGGTTAGATAAAGCAAATGTCTTTTATGAGCACTTAAATATGTCAAATTCTGTTCACAACATCCAGTTTATCATAAATGACACGCTTAAGAAGCTAAAGGGCGACAACCCACTGAATGCGAGTTCCCAGGGCCTAGCGCATGCCGCTGGCTCGGCCGTTCAACAGCATTTTGTCTACCAGGCGACGCAGGGCTCACAAAGCTCGCCCCAGCCACAGAGCCAGCAACATCAGCAGTCGTACAATCAGCTGCACACCGTGCTGCAGGCCGCATGCTCACCCACGCTTGCCATCAACAATAACCAGCAACAGCAGCAAGTGCAATCTGCTCCTGTCTCGGTCAGCTTACGATCGTATCTGGAGACAAGCCTGCTGCAGGCGATACCTCAAATACCTGCGCAACCGCCAATCTGCATATTCGATGACGACGAATCGCCCACTGAACTGCCTGCGAGTGGCAACATTGTCATACTTACCGAACAGTCACAGGCCCCAGGTTCAGGTACAACAGCAAGTGGGCTACCCTGTACTGGGATTGCGATAGCGCCATCGCCGTCGTCCTGCTCCTCATCAACAACGACGCTGTCCAACTTGAACTCAATTACGTCGCCCTCACCGGTAGTTCCTGACCTGTTGTTGTCCACGCCACCGGGTGTCAATTCCAGCTTAAACAGCAATAGCACCACCGCCAGCTCGTCACATATATATCAGCACCTGCAACAGCAATCTCACAGCAGTAACAACAACAACAACAACAATAATAATAATAATAACAACAGCAATGCCAAGAAGGTCGACAGACGGCCCCCCTCCAGCAGCTCAAATGCTTCGACGGGCAGTAGCAGCAGTCATCACCAACACCACCATCACCACCTGCACATTCATCAGCCTCAGTCGCACAACCACAATGTCCTGTCATCGCCCACATCGTCGCCTAGCAAACGACAGAAAAGCAGTAGTAGCAACAACAAGGAGTGCAGTTCCTCTAGTCGCAATACAGCTCTTACGTCTGCATCACCGCGTGCTGGCGCCGGAGCTGGCTCCAACAATACCAATGCCAGCAGCACCTCCGCATCTACGTCCGCCTCCAACTCAGTGCACAACAAGCGAGAAACGACTACAAAGTTCTTTAATATCCACGACAAAATCAAGGAGCTATATCTCCAATTGCTTAGCAATGATCTGAATCACTTTGCGGAAACGGGGGTAAGATTGTCAATAACAAGTTAATTCAAATTTAAATTCACTTTTGCAATTTACCGTGTGCAGCTAAAGCAGCGCAGCCGCTCTTTCATTCTGGAACGACTTGTGGAGTGCGAGCGATTGAACACCATCGTAGTCAACTTGTATCCTGGCAATAAAGGCTACTCCCTGGCACTGCACTACGATGAACAAGTAATGCTCAACCCGCTCACAAACGAATGGATCGTCTCGGATCCCACCCACCCTCATGGCATCCATGGCTGCGAGAACGCGACAGACAAATGCACTACTAGTCGAAACAAAGCGCAGGCTGATGGCGACGCTTGTAACCCGTTCAGAACGAAGTCGAGACTGACCGAAAACGAGCCAGCAGCAGGAGAGACAGCGTCGGCGCCTGTGTCATCTAGCTATGGCCTGGTTGAGGTACTGCGCTGGCCGTATGAAAACGATTTGCTGCTGCAGTGTATTGATCGTGAACTGCTGCCTGAATTCCTCATGGATCTACTGAGCGCCGATACCGTCAGCCTGAGCTCACCACAAGATGGAAGCGAGGGGTCGCGGGTTTATGCCAAGCCGAGCGTTTTTTATGCTGGTTGCGTTATTGCGCAAATACGCGATTTCCGCCAGACGTTTGCCACCTCAACAAATATCTGTGATATGAAGCACATCCTTCTGCGGCCCAGCAATGCAACGCTGTTCGCGGACGTGCAGCAGCTGGGCAGCTCGTTGGGCTTGGCCGGCGCAACGCCAGAGGACCGACTGGCGATCGAAAGTCAACTGGTGCTGGCCACGGCCGAGCCGCTGTGTCTGGAGCCTGATCCGAGCATTGGTCGCCAGTCCATCAATGCACAGCATGAGCGTCAACGATTCAACTCGCATGAAATGCGCCGCCAGATGAAGAAGTTCACCCAGGTGGCCATCAATCGCAAGCGCAAGCTAGATCAGTTCACGCATCACCAAGGCCTCGAGCTATGTGACTATCTAACACGTCTGCGCCAGCGCCCGCGCACTTCTAGCAACAGCACAGCGAACGCAACTCCCGCAACAGCACCCAGCAACAATCCCCTGGTGGGCGCCATGCTCTCCTCATTCACCTCAAAAGTACCAAGGCGGCCGCACGAGGTCATCCGACCCATACGACCACCCACCCTTGACTATCCGGCAAAGCTAAAGGTGCCCGAGAACGTGATCAGTGTAGAGAAATATGCTAAGCCCTTGGAGCCACTAAACGAATTCAGCGAGGCGTGTAAGGACGGCTGCCAGACAAACTGTCGGCACAACTTTCAGCCGCAGCTTATCGAGGAATATGTGTTGGAGACGGAACGGGAAGCGAACGAGGGCCGGCGTGCACTGTATCACATCAAGCTGTCCATATATCAGCGTCCCTCCGACGCAGAATACCTTGGCGAACTGTATGTGGATCGCGACTATCGCGAGGGTGAGCGAAATGGGGAGTCGTGCCGCTTTGCATTGGGCACCCGTGTCCATGCGAATCGATATATTCAGCAATTCCGGGAGATATTTACTGAGGAGGGACGCAAGGCTGTTAAGATTACGCATCTGATACCCGGACATGTGCCAATTGTCACCCACACTGGACTAACTAATGAGCAGCGGTTACTATTGCAGCAACAGCAACAACAACAGCAGCAACAACAGCAGCAACAACAGCAGCAGCAACAGCAGCAACAGCAGCAACAGCAGCAACAACAGCAACAACAACAACAACAGCAACAACAACAGCAGCAACAACAGCAGCAGCAGCAACAACAGCAGCAGCAGCAGCAGCAACAACAGCAGCAGCACCACCAGCAGCAACAACAGCAGCAGCAACAACAGCAGCAACAGCAACAACAACGACAAGCTCAGTTTACTCAGCAGCAGCAGCAGCAGCAATTGCCTTCCACAGTTCATCATGTTGCACAAACACATCCAAACGTTACCCTCTCCCGTCAACCAGGAGTTGTTGCCAAGGCGACCAACCTGCCGCAAACGTTTCGTCAGCAGCAGCAGCCACTTGCCACTACTCAATTCAATGTTGATGGTGCGCTGCAAATCCAGCAGCAGCAGCCGCAGCAATCGCAGCTAGGCAGTGGCAACAACAACAACATTTTGCAGCAGTCGTCACAACAACAGCAACAACAACAACAACAGCAGCACCAGCATATACAACTACTTACAGCCAGCGGAAACGCATCTACCAGTACCACCCATCAGGTGAGCCTGGGAAACGGGTCGCTGGTATTGCTACAACAGCAACAGCCGCAGCAGCAGCAGTTAAGCACGACGTTGCAGCACTCGGGAATCACCATACAGCCAGCCAACATGCAACAGCAAAAGGCGTCGCCAGCCCAGTTGAACACGGCCATCGGTGCGAATTCCGCGTTGCGTGCCCAGCTGAACTCCAATGTGCCAATCCTCGTAAGTATTAGTAGTGTGAGCCATGTTCAGGGTCGTCAACTCATTTTCTAATCCATTTGCTTTTAGCACTCGCAACTGAAGGCTTCTCCCATTGTTGCCACGCATCAATCACTGCAGAAGCAACAACAGCAGCAGCAACAAATAACTGCCACAAATAACAATACCCTCAGCAACAATAATAACAACACGGCCATGCATCCAAATCCTGCGATCAATGCCATAGTCACCAGTATCATGAACTCCGCTAACCAGTACCAGCAGCAGCAGCAGCAACAACACCACCAGCAGCAGCACCACCAGCAACAACAACAACACTGTAAGTCGGTTTATTTAGCATTGATTATATTTATCCTTAATTCTGTTACCTTCTAGCAGGCGGCACACCCACGAGCAACAGCAACTCGACCCCAATCATCAACATAAGCAGCTCCAACAGCGGAAGTCCTGCAACAACAACTCTAAAGAACTCGTGTAATGCGTCTATACTGAACCTGCTGAATAGTGCGCCCGCAGCCATGACGAGCACGCCAGTCGCCAGTGGTACGTTCACCACCTCGTCCACTGGCCAGCAGCAAACGTTGACATTGGTGCAGCATCAGCAACAACAACAGCAGCAGCAACAACAGCCATCGGGGCCCACCACGGTCGATGCGGCTACGGCCACATATGTACAGACGACTCGCGGCACGCCAACACTTGTGAATGCACAACGCAAGCAGCCGCCTAGCGAGGTGCTGCAGAGCCTGTTGAACTCCAACCGTAAAATCAATATAGTTGGCGCAAGTGGCGGCACCACGTTTCGAACCAACTCGGCGGGCAATCTGATTGCCGTCAACCTCAACCAGTCGCAGGGTCAACCGCAACAGCAGGCAGTCGATGGTAGTCAGACGGTGCGCGTGTCCATGTCAGCGCTTGCCTCGCAGCTGGCATCGCCGCCCGCCGTTATGACGAATCCCCCAACCGGATATGGCGCCTACACGGTCAGCACGGGCGGCGTCTGCGGCAGCCTCAAAATACTCAATCCAGGCCAGCAGCAGCAGCAGCGCATACTGAGCTCGCTGCGTAGGGATAGCACTACGGCGCCGCCAAATGCGATCGTGGTGGGGATGGCGGCACCATCGCCTGGCAGCGACTCCAACGCCTCAAATGCTAGTGGATTTGCGGTGCCCACGAACTTGTCGTCGACTTCTGGTGGCGGGAGTGGAGCGCTTAATGCGCTGCTCACCAATGCTGCCACGCCCTCGCCGTCTGGTTCGGATCACTCGCAGTCGTCGCAAACGCACCAGAACCAGGTGCTGCTTGATAGGCTCAGCAATGTGACCTCGAATGTGTCCGCCGTGTCAGCAGTAGCCATGCCGCACATGTCGCCGCAACAGGCGGCTTCAGCACAAGCGAACCAGCAACAGCAGCAGTTCATTACCAAGACACTGGTACACTCGCCCGCCACCTCATCCATACACTCGCCCATGTCTAGTCCGCATCCGCAGCCGTCGGCCTCGCCGCAGCAGCAGCAGCAGACGACTGCTACGCTTAACCTACAGGGTATCAATCTGTCACAGCTGCAGGGCGCAATGGCAAACTTTGCTGGTCTGCAGAATGTACAGGTGCAGATTCCGGGCTTTACGCAGCCCATTTCACTGCAGTTCTCCGGCAACAGTCTGCAGGCGCCAGTGCAGGTGCAGCAGCAGCAATCACAGCAGCAGGCCTCGTCAGGCAGCGCCACGGCAAGCGGAGGTTTGGCGCCGGCGCAGTCGCAGCAGCGCAGCGTGCTGGTCTCAGTGCCCGTATCCACGCAGCAACAGCAGCTGTCCCACACTATCACATTGCAGACGCAAACGTCGCCTCAGCAGCAACAGCATCAGCATCAGCATCAGCATCAGCATGCGCCGCCCACAGGCACCATTGTTAGCCTGCCCTCTGCGGTGGCTGGCACCCAAACGGTGGTCATAACAAATAACGCAACTGCCAGCGGAGGAGGAAACGGAGGCGGGGGCAATGCCAGTGGAACGGGAGCTACAACGGCAATGCTCACGCTGCCCATTGGTAAGTGATCCAGCTGGCAACTGCACATGAGTGCTCTGCCAAGAGAGAGAGAGATAGATCGGCCCGTCTGGGCGGCTTTAATACTTGTTACGATTTGAATTTATACTTTATATAAATATGTTTTTATATATGATATATTTACCTATTTTATTGAACATGCTTAATTTTGTTCTTTTCTGTTTCTGTTTCTACTTTCGTTTCGTTTCTTGTTTACACAAACCTCTTAACAACTCGTTCCGATACTCATGCAACTAAAATGTGTTTATGTGTTCTGTATTTAACCCACGCCATCAGTTTGACCCATGCACCGCCTAACGGGCCCCTAGCCGGGCCAATGGTGGCGGTTAGTTAGCGTCTTTGACCAACAGATTCATTGTAACCTAAAACAACAACAACAAAAAAAATCTCCCCGCACACCCGATCTGCTTTCTGTTTACAGCTCAACTAGTCGGTGCCGGCGTACAGAAACTCAATCCTCAAACAATACGTACCTCAAGTGGTGGTGGTGTAGGTGTTGTAGCGACTTCAGCCACCGCAGCTATCCAGCCGAGAGCGCGCAGCGTACAGGTGGTGGGCACCAAGCAGCTGACCAGTAGCCGACAGTTGCTCACCACACAGCGCCAGATTGGCGGCTCCACGTTAAAGATTGCGACAACTCCAGTCAACGGTAAGTCGGCTAATAATTGTCAAAGTAAATCAATAATATAATCTCATTTATTTGCTTCTCACATAGCCAATGCCGTTACCAATAGCAGTAACATCAGTGCCGGGCCCATTGTGATGTCTGCGCAGAAGATGCAACTGAAGACCGTCAAGGCCCCGACGCAACAGTCACTTCAGCAGCAACAGCAGCAGCAGCATCGAATACTCAATCAGAGCACCGCCACAGCCGCCTCACAGACGCTGCCTAGTCCAAGTCAAGTGCAACACCAACAGCTACAGCACATACAAATCGCTGGACGCCAGGCTCCGACCAACGCAAGTGTCATCAATCAACGTACCCTAACGGCCATTGCAGTGGCCAAGCAGCAGCAGCAACAGGCAGCGGTCAATCGACGGCGATCCACCACAGATGCAACTAAGTAATAGCGCTGCTTCTCTATCCTAGCCCACGGACAAAGCAATGGGCACAGTAATTGCTACTGATGTTGGCAATTAATACAGCCGAACTATTAATTTTGATTAATTGAGGAGAGGAGACAAGTAATAAGGCTACGCGTTATGTATTTGCATGATATTATAGTTTATGTTTACAACTTAAATAGCACTACTGCATACATTGTATACCCATATATCTGCATATATTTTGATGTGTATAATTGTAAGTGTAAATTGTGTGGGCCTATGGACTGCTCAAGCTGTACGAGATCAATTTGGACACATCTTGTTAGTACGGGAAGCTAAATGTGATTCTCGTTTCCGGCGATTGCGTTGATGACTGCGCTTGTGTTTAGTGTGCCCCTTGCAGTAACTACTGCTAAACTACAAAACAAATTAAGTGTAAAGCTCTTATTAATATTTATCTAATTGTACATATTGATTGTTTCATATTTACGTGCGCCGAAAAGCCATTTCAACAATGTCTATTAGTTTGGCTCTCCAACTCCAATTTGTTACACTCTAAGACTAGCTACGTAAGCGTGCGTGCTAACTTTAAGCTTAAGTGCAGTAAGGTAGGAAGGCAGAAAGGTCCTCAAATGCAAAATGAAAACAAAAGAAAGCAATAATAAGAAAACCCACAAAATGTAAAATTGATTGTAAACCAGAATACGGCTAACTATTACGATTTGGATTAGTTACAAATGTATGAACAGTTGTAATGGTTCATATAAATATAAATATACATATGCATATTGTACTATTATAAATATTATTATTATTATTATTATTATTGTAATTATTATTATTGCTAATTATTTAAATGCTTAACCTAATTTTATTAAAATAAAAAATATTTAGTTTGTATTGTAAACCATCAGCAAAACTAAGAAACAAAAATTAGTAGTCGTACTTCCAATTGCAAACTCATAACTTACAATAACAAAAAGTAATTAAAAATGCATATTTAAACAATTTATTTGTAATAGCGCAATGTAAAAAAAAAAATGAATGGAAAAAGCGACCCAAAGTTACCATCATAAACAGGTTACTGCGTAGTTGCGAGCTGATAAATTGTCGCTTTATGCATATATGACTAAAAATTTGTTTTCGAACTAAGAGCGTTTTAGTAGCATGAAATTATTTATTTAAGTATTTTTAATTTCGTTAGACCTTTTGCTGTAATTGTAATTGTTTGGCATAGTATGCTTTTTCTGTACAACAAAAATGCCTATATAATACAAATACCCTAACAAATAATTTAAATGAAAAGAAACAAAAAACAGAGTTACCCAACTATACACACACATACACTCAAAAATAATTTACTCAATGTTATAATAAATGTGATTTAAGAAAGAAAACATGGTACTACCTAAAAAATTATAAATGTTACGATTAACCAGGTAGTCAAGGCCGAAAATGCGCACGAGTCCGTGTCCGTGTCTTCAGAGCAAAAGTGAAGTAAAAAATTATAAAATTAAATATAAATTACATGACAGTAATACGGAGCAAATTAAAACTCAGCATAAGCTATTAAATATCTATTAACATAAATGTAACTTCAACTCAATAATTGCTTATCTAAATACCTGACGTAGAATCTTTTCATTTCAAGTAAACATAAAACAGATTATGTTTAAAAGACTTTCGAGAGAACTGAAATTAAGCGCTAACAAAGTTCACTCAAGAGTGGATAGTAAGCGAATGCATCTAAGAAAGACTTCTAATAAATCAAATATAAAACAGTTTTGTTGTGTGAATGTACAAATACTCTGTGTTTATCTGAATGCCGGACCTGCTCATTGCACCATTACCAATTTAATCATTAGCTTTAAGAGATAAATCCGAGTTAGTTTTAATAACATATTTATATTATAACTGTTAGTCAATATCACGCTGCAGCAATAGATTCGGATAGAATCGCAGACCCTCCACCGACTCATCACGACAAACTCTTCCCAGTCGCTCGGCCACCAGTAGACGCTCCTTAGCTAATAACAGCGATATGCCCAGCTGCTTTGCGAGCTCCTCTACCGCCAAGGACTCTGCAGCTGTCACTTTCTCCAATGTATCGATGGAAATTAGTTCATCATCATGGGACTCCAGTTGCAGCACCATAGCACCACTGGGAAATCGACGGAGTTTTATTGGTCCATTAAGACGTTCGCAAGCGTGAAGCAAATCTTCAGGCGAAAGAAGCTCAAGGCCGCGAGCGCGATTCACACGGCAATATACATCGGCTAGGGACATCATGCCGCCATGCTCCTACCCAACAAACAAGATACGAAGTAGTATTGTTTTTTTTTACTCTATGTAGGTGACGACACACTTACTTCAATTGGATCGAGCAGCATTTCGCAAATTTGCTGGGCCAAACTATTGAAGTACGCCGTATTGCTGGTAAAGTTGTCGCGTGTCACCGGATCATCAATGCCCAGGCTGAGCAGGTAAGATTTAAAGCGCACCGTTTCGTCGTCGGATATTTCACCTCTTTGCTCACGTATTTTGCTGCTTATATTTTTAGATATGCCCACCATATCCTTTGCCATAGCCATGAGAACGCTCAGATCCTGAAACGCAAGTGCTATGTTCTCGTCCGCTGCCTTGGCCTTTGCTTCTAGGTGACGTTCTATCCCACCAATACCCGTGCGTTTTTGAATCCTCGCTAGCTTATCGCTGACTTCCGACGAAGTTTCTGGTCCTCTTAAGATCGTTTCACTCGTTAACGAGATTGTCCAGACGCGCGCATTTAAAGTCTCGCGCAGGGCGCTGTGAAACTCAGCGCTTAGCCCGTTCTTGCCCGACAGCTTAATATGTGCAGCTCGACTTGTGTCCAGAGGACCAGGAGCCTTATCTGCGCTAGGCGGTCGCAAATGCATTATAATGCGAGTTTTGCGGCCAAAAAAGTTGGAGGCTGTTGTTTCTTCACTGAGAGAGATTACATAGCTTAATGGTAGGCAGAGAGTTACGGCTGCTCGTGCTATTTCCCCAGGACGGCCCCAGAATAGTCTGTGTGTGGTAAGTACCACTTCCCCATCTTCGAATTCCGTCTGAAATGAACATTGTTAAAAAAAAGTAACAGCTAAAACTAGAAGCGGATGTGAACTACCTTTTGGTCGCCATCGTAAATTTTGACGTTGCGGTCGCGGCTTACAAAGGACTCGCTTTCAACTAATCGAGCCTCTTCATATGCAAAGCGATTCATTGCTGCTAATCCCAATTTATTTATTATTTTCTAGATTTGTTTTGGTTTTTAATAGAACTAGAAATGTTACAATGAAAGGCTGCGTCACGACATATCGATAAATTGCTTGATCTCTAGACTTAAAAAAAAAATAGGCAAGATGTTAATATTGTAAAGCTCATTCAATTCAAAGAATCTGGGTTTTATTGTTTTTTATATTTACTTGCATTAACCGCGTAAGGAAAGTTAAAGATAAATGTAGAGTTCTTTCGGTTTATTGTTTTTTAAATCTTGTGCGGATAAAAATGTGCGAAAACGGTCACATTCATTATTTAGTTCTTACATTAATCTGTCATGCATAGACTATCGATAGCAGATATTTTATAGTATCGATAACATCAATGGAACAATTAGCATGTGCCCACAGTAGCAAAAATTTTCATTTGTTGCATTTTCTGTTGTTTTAGTGCTAGTCTTTTTTTTGTGTGGTAAAAGTATTATTTATGCACAATTGAAGCCCTTAAACATACAAAATGGCGTGCTTTCATTGAAGGTGCTTATGTAACAATGCACCAACGCCCAAATTAAGAATTTCGCGTTCACATCGATCACCGGATACGGATTACTGTTAAAGCTTTGCCCACACATTGTATGTATCATGACGGCCGCAGCAACAGAGGCGAGTAAAATGTTAGAGGCAGCACTGCAGCAGATGGATGGCATAATATCGAACTCAGCGACTGCAGCAGTCGGTCAGCCCCAGGCTCAACCGGGATCTGCAACTACGGCTTCGCTGACTAGCTTCTGTGAGCGTAATTTAATTTCTGCAACAAATGTGCTGTCAACAGCTAAGACATTGGCGTTGGCGCTGCAACAGGTGAGTCAGCGGCTCAGTAAATATTCATAGAACTAACCCATTTCCGCACTTCTGCAGGTCGGTTTGGCAGCGCCAGCTCCAGACCCGGTTACAGCGGCAATAATAAGCGATTGGCTGGAAACGCATATACCACGTCAGGACTCTGACGAACGCATGCGGCGCTTGCAGCGCGACAAAGAAGGATTGGCGCTACAATACCAAATGCTAGCCGAACGCGTTTCTGAGCAGGCAGACAGAATAATTGAATTGGAGGGTCTGTTAACGGATAAATCGCAGCAGCTTTGCACCAAAGAAGAGCAGCTGCAGCGCCAAATGATTTCGCGATCTGCGCTAGAAACACAAAAACTGGAATTGATGAGTGCCTTAAGTGAGCTAAAGCTGCATCGAACGGCGCTGGAGTGCGAAAATGAGCTGAATGCCACTGAATGCAACATGCCTTACGGCAGCATGGGCAATATAAATCAAAAGACCTTCGCGGCTGATGGTGGCTTAGCACCAAAAACTCCACCCTCAGCCTTGCGTCACCAGATAAAGCCTCAATTCCATAGCTTGCCACGGTCACATGGCGGCGCCAGCAAACAGGTACAGCGCTTGCAGGCCAACAACAACAATAACAATAATCACACCCTAGATGTGAATGCAAACAGCAGTGGGAAGCAACGTAATGTTGCGTTCGCCTCCAACGAACAAATTCTAATTGACGATAGTGTGCTGAGCGACAGTGCTGCCCCACCCGATGACTCCATGTCGATGTACTCTAGTTTTCGATCCCAAACTCAATCAACGCCCTCGCCAAAGCTGCGCGAGCGGTCTGCGCGCGGTTTGCGCAACATTTTAGGCAAACTGCGACGCAGCAATAGCAGCAACTGCGAGCTGACCGCCCTGGAGCAAGCGGAACCAGATGAGTTTCGTCGGGGTGGGTCGCGTGCAACTGCAGGCGGCCGCATAGAATGGAGCGCACAGACACCAATGTTTTGCGACGCTGATAAGCATTACAGCAGCTGGAACGCACAGGAAGTGTGTAACTGGTTAGCGCACATGGGTCTTGGATGTTATCAGGACAACTGCAGGTAAGTGCTATCCTTTTATATAATAATAATACGCACAACCACTGCTTATCTTAACTTTATTTTGGGCTATTGTTATAGTAGGATTTTTAAATTTTAATAGCCAATTACGAATTCATATCTCATTTGCATAACATACCACCAAAATTACCATTCAACTGTTCAACACAGCGTTGTAATATCATTGCTATCACAAACATTTTCCTCAAACACTGCATCATCTTCCATCTGCTATAAAGTATCGTGAGATCTTCGATAATAATGTTGCCTATTCTATAATATATTGGTCACAGGAAATGGCTAAAAGCAGATCCGTCTGTATGCTTCTTTACCGCTTCTCCGGTTGACATCGAACGTGAACTTCATCTAAAATCGGTTCTGCATCGAAAGAAAATCATGTTGGCCATCGACGACATCACGAAAAAGGAGTTTGACGAGCTGACAGTCAAGGCTGCAAAACTGGACGTTGGCTGGGTGCTGCGTTGGCTAGATGACATTGGTTTGCCCCAGTACAAGGATTACTTTCTGCAGGCCAAAGTCGATGGTCGCATGTTGCACCGTTTAACGCTTGAGGATCTTTCGCAACTGCATGTGAGCTCCTGTTTGCACATTGCGTCGTTGCGATGTGGAATTCTATGCATGCGTCGCATGTCCTGGGATGGCGAAGGCCTGATTCGTCGTTCAACCAAGGTGGCCGAGCAGAGCGACGAGGCCAAGAGTACCGACAAGGAAAGCGTTGACTTGTGGACGGCACACCGTGTCATGGAGTGGCTAAAAACAATAGATCTGTCTGAGTATGCGCCAAATCTGCGCGGTGCTGGAGTCCATGGTGCATTGATGCTCTATGAGGATCGCTTCAACGCCGATTTGCTAGCTGATTTACTCTCGATACCGCCGAGTAAATCTTTGCTTCGTCGCCACTTGGCAATGCATTTTAAGGAATTAGTTGGACGTACAATTATACATAGTAAACGCGATGCCGAAGCAGCTCCTGGCTATCTGCCACTCACCATCACTGCAAAACTGAAGCCACCCAAGCGCTCGCAGTTTACACTCAAGCGTCGCAAGAGCTCAAAGGGCCAAAATGAGGTCGACTGGACGGATTTAGTATGCCCGATGAATACTGCAGTGCCCGTGCTGTCCACCTCGGAGACGCTTAAAGATAACGATGGTTCGTTGAGCTCTACTTAACCGTTACGAAAGCGGTCCATAATCGGAGTCGCGGATAACATACTTATCCGTAATAATATAATTATTGTTAATCTAGTTTTAAGTTCACGCCAGAATCGGACCCTGGAGCTGATCAACTTTACGATCGAGCCAAAGTCGGACATACAGACTTACAGCCAAGGAGCTGTATTTGTAAGAATTTAACAAGGCAAGAAATTTGAGCCAACCAATAAGCAATTTATCGTAACACCCCAACGACCAATCAATGACGTATTAACAAAGCCGCCTGCTCAATGCACAACTACCACATACTACTTATATACCTTTTTGAAATTTGCACTTTTTTACTTGTATAATTAACATAAGACGACTTGAGCATTAACGTCTTCCAAAGTATGAAACACTGAAGTATTTAAAAGAGCATACATATTAACGACCTGGAAAGCAATCGAAAGTCTGGCATAACGCACAATATCCGAGTTTATTTGTACTAACACTAAGTAGTATGTTATTAGCCTGATATTTCAAAAGTATATAACGCATTTTTACGGAAGTCAATAATTTTGAATTATCCTTAAATCAGGCAAGAATGGATTGGATTGTAAAAGTCGATTACATATTCTAGTTTATATCTGGCACATCTATTTTCAAAACGACCCATCAATAATATCTTCACAGGATAACCACATAACTTGTTGGGGACGCCTGGAACTGTCTTCAGCAACTAAATCCACTCTGGACACTCTGGCAACGAAGTAGCGGACGATTTTATTAAAGGTCAGGTTGCCCCATATTTGTACCAGAGCCAGAGGAATCCGAAAACCTTTGTAATCCTACCAAGTGACTCCAGCAAAAGAAGATGGTTATTGATTTATCGAAAAAGTGATACAAATGTCTTAAAAGAAATGAGTCATTCCAGACGCACAGTATAGGATAAAGTAATTACTTGGGATCGAATTAAGCATCTGGTTAGAGTACCCCCAGCTCAGATCAGGACTTTCTCAGTGAAAGTACTGCGCTCCCTCATAAGAAACGTCAAGGCACACGTGCTCCCCAAGTGAGCCCCGGAAACATTATGTCGTCTATTTATTTTCTTATTTTGTGCGACTTCCCTTTGTATTTCTGTGGTCCGAGCTGATCTGCAAGTCATATTTTTGTTAGATTTTAGTTTATTGTTAACAATAACTTTGCTTAAATTGCTGAACGACTAGAGGCGTGGCCATGAACTATATTAAGTAGCCAGCTTGGACGGAATCAACATAGTATTTAGATAATTGCTGTCTTGCCAAAACTTTTTCGTTTGCGCTGACATTTCTTTCTTACATCTATCAATCTTTGGCAGTGTGTTCGGAGTAAACTAAGTAAAGCTCGTCGGGTTGCTTTAAGTGGCCTGGTTGGCTGCAGCTTGGCCTGCTGGCAAATTCTCTACACCTAGGCTAATTTGTCCGGCCAGTATATTATCAAGTACGGTGTGTTGCTCGCGAGCAACGCCATCTTTGGCGCGATGCTTGCAAAGATCACTCTCCGGTATGTGATCCTTCCAGTTGCGGAACAGGTAGCGCGTGAACTTCTTTAGCTGCCTGAACTTGCAGTAGGTGGCTCCCTCGGCCGATTGCAGCTGTTGCGTTTGTATTAGAAATCCCTTCTCCTTAAATGTCTTTTCTAGTTTTTCGCGCTGCTTCGAGCGGCGTGACGAACGCCGTTTGCCCGCAGACGCAGATGTCTCGAGCTTTGGACTCGAAAGTGATCTGTGTAGCTGCTCGGACGGATCCATCGGCTTGTGGCAATCCTCTGGGTGTGGCGTAGTGAGTCGCATGGGGCTATGGGAGTTGGAGTAACTGGACGGGCTTTGCGATTCTACTGGCACCAGGCTGCTGGGCAGGAGAAGCGATGATGTCGGAGATTCGGGTGGTATGTGCAACAGTTCCAGGCTGAGATCCGTCGATGGCGGTGGTATATCAATATAGAGTTTGTCGTTGGATGAATTT